GCTCCCTTCGGTGACCTCGAACGCAACCACTCCCCGAAACAATTGCCAACGCACAACAAATAAAGAAACCTTTCTTCAGGATGAATTCGCTCCCCGAAACGTGTTCCTAAATATTCGCCATGGTTCGCCCTTCGGAATACGCCAAAGTTAAATGCACTCCCATGAAATCACGACCATCGGTCATAAATTCGGACTGAAAACTTCAAACCAAAAGTTTACATCCGGATATGTTCGACAAACGCAACATGTACAGGGTGTAGCACAAAAAATGTTGGAGCACAATTGTACACAATGACCGTCGCGATGTTTCTAAAATATTTGTGATCACCAGGGGCGTGCTGTATTCTAGTGGCGTATCAAACTTACGTTTTTTTTTAATGGACCGCCCCATATTTTATTTCAGACTTGGAAAGTAGTGCTCGAAATGTACAGGGTGGCCAAATAATAATACGAGATACTGTATCTGGGAACCTGTCCATCGTAGAGGCTCGCGGTAAAAAAGTTATTACTAAAACGGCCACGAGAAAACCCTGGAAAGCTTCTGAAATGGTCGCTAGGGGGCGTAACTGCAATCTGGAATCTAAAGTCACTAAATATAGAAAGTACCGCAATCCATTGGGCTCGTGTGTTAGAGAGAGAACGCATGATTTTTGCCCAAAAATGGCGGAAGTTACCAGATTCTAGTAACTTTAATGTTAGGGATTGTTCCACCTGTTTGGAGATATCTGTATATATTTTTATAAAACATGACAGTACTATGAAGTTAGGTTATAAAAAATTACAGCTATTCAGATTTTATTTGTCAATTTTTTTAAGTTGGCAGCAAATTTGCCCAAAAATGGCGGATGATTGCGGTACTTTCTATATCTAGTGACTTTACTGGGATCTAAAAAAGTGATTTTTCTGTGAACCTAACAAAAAAATGTCCGGTCTTTGAAGACTACGATAAATAATCTGAACCTTTTTCGTTAGACAATGTTTCCTGTATCTCTGGGGGGTATTCAAAGGTTTCCGTAAAGAACATCCTGTATCTTCGAAACGGTTGAGCCGATTTTAACAAATTCGGGTTAATTGAAAAGAGTTATTCTTCGGCTACAAATATTATAATATTTGAAGTTTTGTTAGTTTCACATATCGCCGCTTGACGCCTTTTTTTGACATTCCGACAGTAATGGTTAATTTTTTGAAAAAAATTAAATGCGTTGGTTTGATTTCGAGATGCTGTTTTCGCGAGCTTGTTTAGGCATCATTTAGCTACAAAATCGAACCAATGCATAATTTTTTTGAGAAAATTAACCATTTCTGTCAGAATGTCGAAAAAAGCCCTCAAGCGGTGATATGTGAAACTAACAAAACTTTAAATATATTTGTAGCTGAAGAATAACTCTTTTCAATTAACCCGAATTTGTTAAAATCGGCTCAGCCGTTTCGAAGATACAGGATGTTCTTTACGGAAACCTTTGAATATCCCCCACCACTTCATTTTTAGAGATGCAGGAAAAATTGTCAAACCAAAATGGTTCAGATTATCATCGACTTCAAAGACCGGACTTTTTTTGCTAGGTTAATATAGCGGAATTCACAGAAACATCACTTTTTTAGATTACAGATTGCAGTTACGCCCCCTAGCGGTCATTTCAGAAACTTAAAAATATTTTCCAGGTTTTGCTCGTGGCCGTTTTAGTAATCACTTTTTTTACCGTAAGCTTCTACGATGGATAGATTCTCAGATACAGTAGTTCGCATTCTTAGTTGGCTACCCTGTACTTTATCGAAACAAGGCCTTCGCCAAATGTCACATTTTTTTAAAATTTCAAATGGCGCCCGCCGAAAAACAAATTATACCTATGGATAGCGGAAACTACAAAATTGTCACAGATACAAAACACAAAGCCCTCCATATTTCAGAGCAAAAACAAGTCTTGAGGGGTGGGAAACGAGGCACGAGAATTAGACGGAAGATAATGAATTGCAAGTTCTTGGGGAACCTGAAATTTATAGGAACATGGATATTTCAATGCATTCTGCCTCTTCAAAAGTACAAGTTTCATCCGTTCAAGATTCAAGTGCACCAGGAATTGCAACCCCAAGATTTTTAAGTTAGGGAGGATTTCTGGATGTGGGATATCAACAAAATCGACCAAGAGCAACCCTATATCTTTTGAGCCGTTATTTAGTGCCGAATCGATGTTCCATAAAGATGGCGCAGTTAATTACCACACCTTCCATTGTTGCGCTGAAGAACGAATTAAAATATTCGTGCATGGGGGGTATAGATACCCCCCAAGAGCTACGATCTCTCTCAAAACATTTAGACCTTAAACACTCGCGAATTTTCCTTTCCTATGAGAATTCCCTACCCCACAGACTTCTGTGTTACGTCGATAGTCCCTTTCAAGAATCATAGTGTCAATGTTAAAGAGCACTAAACAGTAAACAGTCTGGGAAAAACCTCTATTTGTTGTGCTTTATAAAATTCATATTCAGTACAGTTTAACAATCAAGAATAGTAACAGAAACAACTCATAGAAAAATTCGAAGGAAATGAAGATTCAGAAAAATTCAAGAAAATTTTGAAAAAACAGCAAAATTCCGAAAACACCCAATAAACTGAAAAAAAATATGCATACCCATCGGTGTAAACTATCAAAGGTCAGTTTGACAAAATATCCTGTACCTAGATCTTCCCGCACTTCCATGTTGTGCTTTAGAAAAATTCAAAAATCAAGAAAAGTAACAAAAAAACTCATACAAAGTTCGTAGGAATTTAAAGTGCAAAAGGATTCGAGATAATATGTTACTCATACATAAAAAAAATGGAGTTTTCAAGTACAATGTGGTTCAAATTCGTGACTAAAAAAACGCATTTGAAATTTTTGAAAAATCTGAAAATAACAGACCACCGAAAAACTGAAAATGTCAACTTTCGTTTTCATTTTCCTCTTGATATTCCCTATCGCTTAAACCGTCGGAAAGGGACGGTTCCGGTTAGCACCTTCTGTGGGCACTTTTTTATGGGAGAATCTGAACATGTTATCAAATTATGGAAATTCTGATAAGAGATTCAGATTTTCCGAAAAAAAGTGCCCATAGAACGGGAACCATCCATTTCCGACCGTTTAGGCTAGCCGCCAGGGAGACTGAAAACGAAATTTGGCATTTTCATTTTTTTACTCACTTATTTTCAAAAAATTCAAATGTGTTTGTTTCAGTCACAAAAAGGGGCAACTTTGCCTCCATTTAACCATTACAATGGTTCCCAATGGTGAACTACGAATTTGAACCACCCTGTATATACTTTCCAAATCTGCATTAAAATATGGGGTGTTCCATTTAAAAGTGTGATACACCAATAGCTCGACCAATAGTGGTCAGAAATATTGTACTTGTGCACAGTCTTGCTCCAAGATTTTTTTCGGTGAAGAAGTGATGATCTGAGGGGTCTTACTTAAATGATACACCCTGTACATTCGTACTACTAAATTTCGCCCATTTCGCCCCAAACAGTCTCCGTCGAAATATTCTCGCCCGCACAAGACTATAAACTTGCGGGACCTGGTCCCCCAAAGTTACCTTCCCAGTATATTCGTTCCTGGAGTACTATTGCCTCTTCAAATGCGGATTAGCTAGAGAAACATCGTGTATACATACACCACTTTTGAAAAAAAATCCCTATACAAAATACATACTTCTATACAGATTTGTAATGCTAGTCGTTCGTTACAACTTATTCGTGCGAGAATACCTATCCGATCGGCTATATTTTCCATTTTCCAGGAAATTTGTGCGAGAAGTATTCTCATATGATTAGGGCGTTGTGCGCGAGTGCGCCGTCCTGTTTAAATCTACAGTTTCCAACTTTTGCTTTTTTTATGTGTCGTCAACGGTGTTATGTGAAATTCAAAAACTACTAATGGGAGTGTTTTTTTTTAATTTTTCAAATGTTCAAATACTTAAAATCAGAAAAAAATTAAAACGAAATCGGCAAATTTCGGTTTTTCTGGCATACTTCGGAAGCAGTCGGAATTTTCTGGTTTTTTTTAAACCATTGAATGTATTTGCGCATTTTTCTCTAATTTGACCATCGCCGTATCTTATATGGTTTCGGAGATCTCCGTGATAGACATTCGTATCTTAGAGAAATTTTGACGATATAACCTTAACTTTAATAATGGGCGTTTGCCCATTTTCGTTTGTGGGGTAGACATAAGCACAAGGATATTTTTGTAATCCCCATTGACAAATTAAGTTTTTGCATACAGGGTGACCAAAATGTAATGATCAATTTCATTTCAAGCTTGAAAAATGAACTTGTATATATGGAATTCCCTGGCCGCAGTAGGAAAGCAGCTAAAAAATGCGGAGCCTGCCATATTGCTCCGTTTTGGGAAGTACTCTAAAATTTCAAAAAAACAATTTAATAGATTTCTGCAATTTCCAAATTTCTACACATTCTCTCTGCTTCATTTAAAATTTTTTTCGCGATTTTTTTAATTCCGAATTATTATCTCAAAATTATTGAAACATTCCTAACATTTCGGGAAAATGTACACATTTTTTACCTCGTTTTTCACACATTTTTCAAAGTTTAAATGTCCAGATGATTCTGGTTACATTAAAAAAATTCCAAAATGGAAGCACTGGAACGACCTACTTGTGACAAAAGGAAAACAAAAACACCAATAAACCACAGTAACATATTAAGACCTCGAATGCGTTTTAACAGCAAGGCTGTCATTATCAGCGAACAACTGATAGGTTCTTTACACGTTTTGAAAATTTTGAAACGTGTCAAAAATTTCCTTTCTATCGATTTCCATTTTTGAAACACTTAAACCAGTTACGACGGGGCCACTTTGTTTATACGCACACCGGCGATGACGTTTGCTGGAATTTATCTCGTTCGTTGCTAACTTTATGGACCTTGGTATTGGACCCCCCTTAAAAAAAGGAATTTGATACGCCCATGCGTTGACCTCCAAATGTGGAGCTTGTGTTTTGTGAATTTACAAGAAGCAGACCTCGAAGCAGACCTACCTGTTCATGTCTTAAGGGATGAAACGTGGTGAACCAAAACTGAAGACAAAATGCTCAAGTGGCTCCACCGACACTTGGATGGCAAAAATGTATGTTTATACGGAGTTTGCATGAATCTCCATACAAATTGCTCCGGAATGTATGCGATAAGAGCAAGCAATGATTCATTTATTACTAATAATGTTTATCGAATTTATCATCGTCTCGAATTAGATAACGTTCCATGAAAAAAATTCAAATATTCTACCATTTGTCGGAAGGCAAAGGTTGATTGGCTAAAAAATAGGCGAATCATATTTATCTAACATAACCCCAACAAAACTCGGCACGACATCACCGTTTAATTTTGATGAAAACTTCGTTTGCGGTTACGCCTTTTTCTAACCTATTTGTATTTTTTTGCCGAGTGTCGTAAAGTAAACGCTGACTTATTGAAGTATAATGCAAATAAGTGGAGTTTTAAAATTCCGATGACGTCATGCAAAAAAACAGAAATTTGTGACTATTAGCTTAGGAAGCATTTTTACGACCGTCTTAAAAGGTTTTAAATTTTTTTTGTTTCAATACGATAAATCCGCCGAAACGTTTTAGGGTGTCCTTCACTTCGGACATGATAAAAACATGACACCTGCTTCGTGTAATTTGTTACTCCGAGTTCACTCAGAAACAAGTGATTAGGTTTTATCAGAATTTAAGTGGTTTTTGGTTTAAGATTGTTTTCTTAATTACCTACAGGGTGCGTACTAATTGTGTAGGAAAACAAAAGAACTTACGTAGATTAAACCAGAATAGTATCTATCCTTCAAATTGTGGAGAACGCAGGCTTCGTTTAGGCATGTTAGCTCTGCCATATCTTCCACCTTATCGAATTTAGGGGGGTTCATCTTTTGGATGTCATCCTTGGCGACGAAGGTGCGTTTGCCGGTCTCTTGCACCTCAACCTCAACTTCGTCGCCTCGTTCGCCCTTGATGGAGGCGGCGACGAACCCTTGGCTCTCGTGCGGCACCCAGACGAGCCTTTTCTGTGTCCATTCCGCCTGTGCAGCAGGATCATTGTAACTATTCCTGTCCACAGAAAGATATTTCAATTCGGGATCGTATCGGTCTTTTGAATCCGCGTCGGCCATGGTTAGGTGTGCACAAAAAGTACTAAAAGCCGCACTCGCGTAAACTAATTACGATAAAACTAACAATAAAACTCACATCGAACGAATGCGAGCGCGAAATAAAACTACGAGTACGTACTTTAATTGATAGAAATTAGGAAAAAACGAACACGTACTTTTAAACTTAAACGCAAGATAATGTTTGCTATGCGAATGACAGGAGTGTGAGTGAAATCACAGCAACCGTTGCTCGGACCGCGCCCGACCATTACCGACCGAGCATAACAATCGCTTTCAAACTGGGCGCGGTAAAACGCAACGAAATCATTAAAAATCGCACAATTTCGTTCAATTCGATAATTAAAAGTCTCCCTCTCACGTCAAACTCAATTTGCGAAGGATAGATTAACTTCTAATTCAAACGCAACGTAACGGTCCCTCCTGTAGAGTGTAGGCAACCGACATTTCCGGACAGACGGTGGTGATATCACGAAAACCGCCAATTATTCTATTTAACCAAAAATTCGTTTTCCTCTCTTTAAAACACTTGTAAGAGGGCAGACGCCCTCGTGACAGGTGGCTTATCACGCCGTTTTGTTACAAAATCGCTCTCAAAAAGTGAGTCACTGTAGAGAAATGTTAAACGATGTACTTAGTTTCTCTTAATTTTCGAACCTTATTTGGAAGTAGATGACTTTGTAACGGTTACCTATTCTGCACAAAACAGGTACTTTAATTGCACGTTACGTACGCCTATACAGAAATTAGGGCGCCTATAAATCAATCTACAATCAAAACACCAAATTTGAAGAGTGTGTTACAATAATAGACCAGTGTTTCTGGAGTGGCGTAAGTGAAAGGACAAATGCAAATTCAAAATATGTGGACTTAAAAGATTGAGGCAAAAGGACCCGCGGGGACACAAAATAATCAAAGAGCGCCATTTCCCAACGAAGTTGGGTACGCTATTGCAGCCATTTGCTCTGTCCGTCCGCCCGTCCGAGGTTTTAACTGCTCCTACAGTTTTCAAGATCTTTAGTTCGTACTTTTTTACATGCGTTAACTTTTAGCTTTGGTATCTCAGTCTTGGCGATTAATGTGCTCCTTTATTAAAATATTTTTTTGAAATTTTAACCACAGATTCTTCTAGTATCGCATATTTTAAACACCAGGTGTGCGCATGCGCAGCCTGTGCACATTGACTTTTTTGAGTAAACTGTTGCATGAAAACTAAAATCGTTTGCCTGCACAAGCCAAAAGTTTAGGTTAAGTAAAATCCTGGGGTGTCAGATATTTTATTTGTAATTGGTAGAAATGCATGAACATATAAACAATACTCCAACTTGACGCATGCGCGTTGAATAACGAATTGTCTTCACCTGCACGTTTCGTATTTTCGGTAACTGTGTTACTATGTGCGTTTACTACAAAACGAAAATCGTGTGGTTCATTACTTAGTTGACCTTCATTAAAATATACATTGATCTTATCTCAATGCAACATTTCTGCGATCTCATGATTTTATCTTTTTTGCCACTTTCAACTTTTTAATTAAATACTCGTCCCATCATTAACAATTTAACTGCTCACAAACGAGATATACTCTGTACGTCGAGCTGCGCTGCCAAATTAGACTGTTTGTTGCGTCCCCAAACTGGAATAAAATATCCTTTCATTTTTCTTTTAATGAAAATACCCTGTACATAACCGTTTTGCCTTGCCTGTATATATTTCTACTTGTTACGTGTGCGCGCATGAGCCGCAGAAGCGCAATATGCACTCGTCGCGCAGAATTCGTCCCAATGACCCAATCCCATTCTTCGCCGAAAAGCCATCGACTCAACAACGTTGAGAATTCGCCGTTCATCAATGGCCGATTAGCTTTCGTTGTTCGCATATTTAGAGCATGATCGATCCACAACAAATCAAGATGTCACCGTGCAGATGCACTGCAACTGCAGTTCGCAACATCGTTATTGTTAAGAAGCACGACGTCAACACCGCACATCATGAAGATTTCGTTGTAGCAAAATCGACAAATTCGACAAAATCGTAGAAAAGAGCAATCTTTCGTCATTGCAATATCGCCTTCTTTGTTAATGGACTTCGAAACAACACTAAGTTCCTTTGTTTACATTATCCTTTCGTAACTTTGCCATTTTCTAGTAGCGCGTCGTGCCTCCGTCAACCATATTCAATATAAATTCATTTACTTTGTATTTTTTATAATAAACACGTTTATTTTTGCGTGTATATTCTTTCATTCCCAACATAAACAAGGCCTTGGAAGTAATTCATAATTACAGTCCACTTACAATTAAATCCTTTCTTATCGAAGCCCCCTTGTACGGTACAAGACTGACCGCGGAAACAGATTAAAACAATTCAATTTTATTTGCGCAAATTAACATGCACAAGTCAATTTGCAAGGATTGCGTGAACGTGAAAACCCACCTTTATAAAGATTTTTTTTAAATTTTAACCACAGATGTTTCTAGAAAGGTAAACATCGCTCGCATATTGTAGTAATAACATTTGCGCATGCGCGAATTATGCAATGACAATTTTTGTATTTATGGAGATTTCTTTGAAATTTTAAGCATAGATAGATGCCTCTAGTACAGAAAACATAACGACACAGTTATGGCCTTTTGGGAAGTACTCGTCAAATGCATGGAAAATGCGAATGCTAAAGTTTATCGCCTTAGGGTTTTGTATCACAGCACACTCTTATACAAATAAGGAAATACAAAAACTAAATGGTCATTGCCCATTGGTTTGGTCGAGTCCCAAAGCGCATTTTTGGATTGAATTTTGCTGATGTTTGGGTATTAGGAATATTTGACAATTTGAATGGATCAGGGTATCGATTCCCGAAGTTAGTCGATATGCTCCGTGATGTGCATGTGATGTGACCGGCTGCCATGACGTCATGATCGTATACGATAGGGATAAGTTCAAGTTTAGCTGCATTCCCGAATCGTGGACAAACTTATGCGCTAACCAATCACAGACAAGAATTGAACTGTCATTTGTCAGTTTTGTATTTTCTTTTGTTTTTGCATTACGGATACTGTTATTAATAACCAGAAAATCCTCTAACAATTCCATGTTTTATTTCCCAGAAAATATGTGAATGTATAGGTTAGGACACCGAATAACCCCTAGCAAAACAGCTGCAAGATCCGTCCTATAGCTGCTACTGCGCATGACTTTCACGCAACGAGTGGTCTAGACCAGTCGTTGCGTTCGATCAACTTTTCGCTCGATGTGGTAGGTTCGAGAATGCAGTGACATTCACGTTCACTTCAAGGTCAGTCGATGTGAACAAAGCACATCTTCGGGAATCGACGCCGACGACAGATTTTAATTCAGTTCAAATACAAATCGACAGTGTTTTGCTTTACTTACCAAGCTACTCCATCTTTTATCGCATTTTGCAATTAAAAAGGTAGCTTTTAACATTATGTGGCATCGGCGACATCTAGGCGCCATCTCCGAGCGTGGTTTACGAACGTGGTGATTTTTTAGTTTTTTCGTATCTCCTTCTACAGTGTTGCTCCGATTGTTTTCCAACTGGTGTCGTCGGAAAGATATTAGTAAACATTCACAACTTTTGTTCCTAGAGTTGAAATTAACGACTCTTTGCGAGGCGCGCATCTTCGAAACGTAGTCGACTTTAATGTATCTCTCTCGGAAAATATTAGATTTAAAAAATTGGAGTTGGGCTCAAATTGTAGGAAAATGAGTCTATTTTTAAAATGATTTAACAACATAAAAAAAATTGTATGCTAATTTGTGCAATGTTTTGTCTCTAAAGTCAACGGCCTATAACGTAATTGAATTTGACGTACTAATCATCAGATAGCTATACGTTAAGGTTTAAGTATTGATTATATGATAGTGTACATATCAATGGTTTAAGATAGAGCGGGTTGTAACAATTGATGATCGTATTCTGATTAAGTTAATCAATGATAAAAATACCTAGTACCCATGATTAGTATATTATGCACAAGAAGGAGTACAGTACCAATGCAAACATTTATACAACTGCCTTCCCTTAGATATAAGGATTTTAGACTACCCTATATTTAAGAGACGCATAAAAAATGTTCTTCTATGTGGAGCATTTTATTCTTTTAACGAGTTTGTGGCTAGTGGTAGATTATGTAATTAGTTAGCGTTTTTATTGCGATTTTACTGTTTTTACCTGTCTGTTTTTAGTTTGTTTGTTATATTGTTTGTTATATACTATTATTTTTAATGTTTAGTGTAATTTCCCGTTTCTTTTGACGAGTGTAAGTGTAATTCACACCTTCTCACAATTAAATATTATTATTATTATTATTATGTAATGAGCATTTAATGACGTTTAAGACACGAGTATGAGAATTACGAAACGAGCCGAGCTTCGTAATGAATACGAGTGGGCTTAATAGCCATTAAATGCGAATTTCATACACTATTATTTCTACTACTATATATGATGATCTATAACGAGGTGATACTACGATGGCTTCAAAAGCGGTCCAAAAATTGAGATTTTTATTGTGTGCAGGTAGTAAGCGACCTCAAAGCATGCGTATTGCGCATGAGTGCGCAGTCGTAGTAACGGTTTCCCGCGGACTGTCACTGTCATTTAGGTATTCAAGATGTCCGCCGATTGGAATCGTATGATTAATTCATAAGAAAACGAACCACCTAATTCGCTATGCCCCGCAGTTGTCAAAACTAATCAATTTTAGATCAGTCTTTGTTATGGAAACTTTGATTTTCATAAATTATGCGTCGTGGTTCCGTGATGCTGCATTTCTATTGGTCGTAAACTTGTATCGTTTAAGCTGGGTATGCTGTGGTTTAAGTACAGGAAGCAAATGTTTAATATAGAGTAGAAAAAATTTTTTAATGTATAATGAAGTACTCAGTGACTTGAATTGGCTCTGAAAGAAAGAGATCGACGTATCGGTAATGTGTAAAATTAGTTCATTTTTAATGTCACCAACGGGAGCTGCCAAAATAATTAATATTAGACGTGACCTAAAATTTCCACGGTCTTCCCTGAGTCAAAATTTCGTTCATCTACCGTACAATGAAAAAGGGAGCATAATTTCTGATTTTAAATGGGAAATTTTTGCACATCGGCAATATAGCATAAAAGTCGTAAACTTGGCAACAACGCTATCAGTACCGGTAAAAGTAACGCTTTAAAAATTTCTTTCGAGTTAAAATGTCGTCTACGCAACACAAATTTTCGGATTTAGTGAGTATCCTAGCATTTTATTTATTTAAATAATACACGGATTCCCCTAAAAATAATTCAAACTTTCTATTTTGCACGTAATTAATATCTCCGATACACTTTTTGTAACTGTGGAAAACTTAATACCTACACTTAGTTACCTACCTCTACATGTACAATCGAACGAATTTATACCAACCACTTTTACAATTAGGCAACCGAAAGTAATATCATTTTTTATATTTCTCATAGCTTTCATCAAGCGTAGTACATACAGCTGTTCTGAATCCGGTAGCCTCGAGAGGGTACCTTAAGAAAGTGCTTTCGGCTGCTTTCGCAACAATTCTACATAAGCGTACAACTTTGGATGCAGCCCTATTTCGAAATCACAATTTTAATGGAATTGATTATAATATGTTTAGCGTTACAACTAAGAGCGAAATCGTAAGGAATTTTCGTTGTTGGACTAAAGGCGCCTTTCACGCCTTAGAGAGAAACTACGTAGGGTTGTCATTTTGTTTTTCGCTATCCTAACAGAATCTTGCAGCTACAAGACTTGTATCTAGTATTCACGAAAGTCAATGATCCATCTGACGTGATTGAAAGTTACAAATTTAAATTTAAGTACAGCACCGATGCGAAGGCCTCCACAATTACAGATGATGAACTGGACCGAATGACTACCTCATTACTCGAATCGATTAACGGGTTAGATATGCGTGAATTACTGGAAACTGATAAATTTTCACCTTTTGTTATTATAACTTACTGCAACGGTACGTTGACTATAATATTATTAAGAGTTTAAAACTGGGTTGTAGACACACCAAGAGATTACCAACCCCCATTTCACCGTAACGATTATCTTACAGCATCAACTATATTTAAAAATCTATCTACTGATGGGACTAGACTAGATTTGGGACACATTCTCACAGGCTTTCACTCTGTAAAATGCAGGGCAAAAGGCAAATTGGTAAGTAGGTTTGTTACGTAAAAATAGTTATAATTTTTTTAAAGCTTGTACCTGAGGAATATGACACTACCCAAAGCAAACATACAAGCACTGTCGATGAAACTGCAGAGGAGCTTGATGAAGATGACCTGCTAACGAATGACGGTATAGACCAATCTACATTTTACAGTTGACTTATTAACAGAACATTCTAGAACCAGCCACGCGCGAGTTCTCGAACTCTCTGAACCTAGATTGCCCGTGTAATTTGCACAAAATGTATTGTTCGATCAATACGATTGAATGTTACAATTGTAAATCGTTGAAACATACACCTTGTGTACAGTTCTTTTCGGCCATCTCGGACAAGTATTTATGCGACCAGTGCCAAAATTCCCCGGCTCTGACTCCGAGACAAATCGTTTTGCAGCAGGAGACCTCGGTTTATCGGTAACTTTTACTAGATATGTTTACTAATTTAATTGCCAATTGTATTTTATAGGCTTGCAGTTGTCTTCGCATATTTCAACCGTATTGTCCCTTCAGACGTGCTAGATTCTGCACCTCCGCAATGTAAATTTGTTGTTTTACAGAAACTTGTAAAGCGTAAAATACTATCATATGATGGCATAAAGTAAGGTTTTCTAATTTTTCTATGTAAATCAAGTATGCATTTTCAGATATAATTTGGATCCAAATCAACTGGACATAGCTGCGCTGCAGGTATTTGGAACAGACTCGGATACGAATATGATATGTGCACCGGAGAGTAGTACACTTACAAATTATGATTCCAATAGCATCATATTCAGTGGAGCTTCTAAGAAGCGTAAACTATTTTGATTATCAGGGTTCTTTTGTCACATTTCTGAGTTCAATATTTTGTCCATTTCATTGTGTTATTTTGAGTAAAATATCATGTTTCAACATTATGGAAGTGTTCATAACTTTTCCAGTATTTTGTTTGCTCTAAATTCTCTCACAGTCTAGTGCATCTAGACTGATTCTCTTAAGATTTGATGTGATGACACACATGATGTTAGTATGAGAAAGGGTTATCCACGCTGCATAGCGAGGGTTCGTTTTTTGTTTAATTGTATGGGCAATCAGAATTTCTTTTCTTTGATTTGGTAAGACAATTTAAGCTGATTAAATTTGCAGGTGTTTCTTTGTGTAAAATATTTTAAAATATTCTTTGTTAGGCTTTAGTTTTGTGTAAAATGCACAGGTGTTAAACGTTAATGGGTTTGGATAAGACTATACTTGATAACATTTTGTTTACATGATAAGGTGGGGTTTTTAATGTACGGCGAAAAGTGGAAGTGGAGTTAGGAGTATAGGACAAGCAGAGTGGTTGTTTTCCCTGCAATTATACGTGATTTTTCACATGTTGTGTGGATCATACTGGACCCCTAGGTGCGTTACGCTGGATGTTTACGCTCCCATTACGTTCAAATTACCCGCTAACCCTAAAATGCGCTGCCTGCACTACATTTCAAAGCTTTTGTAGGTAATGAAAGATATATGTACTTACTGGTCCTTCACAAGGGGGCAACGTACTCTTCTTATTCTGTGTCCTGTTCTGGTAAACATGCGAAGGTGTGTTTTGGATGTTCTGTTGAAAGATTTCTTTAATCTTGGAGACTCTTCCATATAGTAGATCTGAGTCTATCATTTTTAATTGTAGTGTTTCTTGCTCATGGCGTCAGTTCCAATTAGAAGTGGATAGAGGTAGTAGAGGTAACATTATTCGTTTCATAGTTGAAAAAAGGGTTTTTTTATGATACATTACGCCAAGAATTTGAGCACATTTTACAGTCAATGTCAAAAAGTGACACGTAGGTACTGCAAACAAATTAATTCAAGGTCTAGATACCTACTTTATACTCATGATATGATATTGCGCATGTAGGAGGAGTTATGAATCACGTGTGTGACGTCACGCGGTGAATTTCAAATTAATAGTACATTATATATCAAGGTAGAGAAGTCCACTATTATTGCCTGAGCACCAAGATTACATCTCGAGGCGCTTGCGCCGAGGGGTGTAAGGTGCAAAGGCAATAATAGACTTCTCTACCGTGGTATATATACTATTTTTTTCACTACTAGCACTTGAAATCCTCTAAATTAACATATTATATTGATAAGAGAGTTAACGGTTGAACAGAATTGTTTGTTTCTTAATTTAACATGTCAATCAAGTACGTGGAAGTACAAGTCAAATAGGCCGTTTTTTGTTCTGTCATTGAGATATTTTCAAAGAGTAATTTCGTTCGAATTTTTTCAAAATGTGATAATTTTAGGTATGTACTTTCTATGGAAATTGCGAATGGTGGCAATTATTCGTTTTAGAGAACTTGTCTAAACGTTCATTGAGCGAAATTTCGGGTTGTGTTTTCTAAAAGTGACAGCGTGACAGTTCTCATTATTGACTACTAGCATAGAGTAACGTTGTTTACTCTATGCTACTAGTTAATAATAGAAAATTATTAACCACTTTGAACAAATGCCGAGAAAGCCTTCTTTACAAGTGGAAAAAAGGTTAATAATCATGTCATCAGACGCTAGTAGTGAAAAAATATAATAATCTGTCAGTGTAGATTTTGGTGCTTTTTTGGAATTTGTGAATCAGTGTTCAACAAAATGAGGTGTTCCGTGGTTGGATGTACTACAGCTAATGGATCAAAACAGTTTTCAAGCAATCCAATGTTTTTCCGGTTCCCGAATGATCAAAATTTTCAAAAGCGTTGGGTGTTACCTTGTGTTATATTTGTTGGGTCGTTGGAAATAAACGGATGATGTCGGATTGTTATTTATTAATTGCACAAACATATATCACCGACATTATTCTACCTCCATTTTTACAAGGCCATAATCATCGGCTGTGTCTCTACTCCCCTATACTAATACCCTGTATAACACCTCCTCTCCTTAAAAGAAATAAATTTACAATATGTATAAGCATAAAATTTACAAATTCAAACGTATAGGAGGTCGAGAAACCCTATTTGATCTTCGTAAAGGTGGTTCCGAATCTATTATAATTTTACTTGTTTCGGGCACTGATACAACTGGAGCATCTGAAAGATTTTCATTTACTGGTGGCGTAGTTGCCTCCGTTTCAGAAATGATTGAACTGGTACTACCCTGAAATTGATTGTCAGCTGGGTGTGTATCCTTTTCTTTTGCAATATGCAATTCGTCATTATTATGAAAAGTACGAGAAGTGGACATCGTCTGACCTGCAATCGGATCGTTAACATAATCTCTCACTGCATTTGTGATAGGCATATTTTCGCCAATTGTCCTAATTTGATTTATGTGTCGTTTGTAAAATTTACCATTATCTAACTGAATTAAATAATGTAATTTACCTAACCTTTTTTGTATTCTGCCAAATTCCCATTTATTGCTATGATTGTAGTCACGCACTGCCACTCTTTTCCCTACCGAAATTTCTCTTACTCTAATATTGTAACTAGGTTTTGTATTAACTTCTAAATCTGGTTTAAGAAAATCTAAACGTGAGCGAATTTCTCTTCCGAACATTAAATAGGAAGGACTGACTTTCGTTACTGAATGTTCAGTCTTTCTATAATGTAACAAAAATTTTAGTAATTCTCTTTCACAATCATTTGCATGTCCCTTCATTGCTCTTAGAGCCTGTTTAAATGATTGTACATATCTTTCTGCTAATCCATTTGTGCTTGGATGATACGGAGCACTTAACTTATGAATAATACCGTTTTCTTGTAAAAACCGTTTAAATTCGTATGAAGTGAATGTACTCCCGTTATCTGACACTAAAGTTCTCGGAATTCCAAATGTAGTAAAAATTTTTCTACACAGAGCAATTGTATTTGTTGTCGTCATATCTCTAACTACATGAATTTCTGGCCAGCGTGTGTATGCGTCGACTAAAATAAAGTAATATCGATTATAAAAAGGCCCTGCAAAGTCCACATGTACTCTGTCAAAGGGAGCACTAGCTGGTTCCCAAGGGTGAACTTGCACTTTTACTGGGTCATTTTTGTGTTTTTGGCAATTTACACAATTCTTAACAATCGCCTCAATGTCATCCGATATTCCGGCCCACCACACATAACTTCGTGCTAAGGCTTTCATCTTTGCCACCCCAAAATGCGTTGCATGTAATTCTTGTAGGATTTTGTACTGTAATGTTTTTGGAACAACAACGCGGTGTTGTCTAAATATACTCCCACTTTGTAATGTAAATTCTGACTGATCTACATTAAAACGGAATTTTTTGTCAACCTCTGTCCCTGATTGCAACCCCTTTAATAGTGGTATTAATGCATTATCTCTCTCAGTTGCCTTGGCTAGTTCCTGTAATTTAATGGGTAATGTTTCTATTTGATTAATTTCGAATGCATCTGGTTCATCATAAAGGTAATTATCAGTACTTTTTGTAGGTAACCGCGACATAGCATCCGCATTTGCGTGCTTTGTTGTATTTTTATATTTAATATTGTATTTAAATCCCTGTAAAAAGAGTGCATAATGCTGCATTCTTGTGGCAGTCAAAGATGGTAAACTTGCTACTGGTGAAAAAATATGTACTAGAGGTTTATGGTCTGTATATAGTGTAAAGTTTCTTCCAAACAAGTAATAAAAGAATTTTTTTACTCCATATACGATACTGTATGCCTCCTTGTCAATTTGGGCGTATTTTTGCTGTACTGTTGTTAAAGTTTGTGATGCAAAACAAATTGGTCGTTCAGATCCGTCTGGAAATGTATGTGATAGTACAGCCCCTACTGCGTACGGGCTGGCATCTGTAGCTAACACCAATGGTAGTTTTGGGTCAAAATGAACTAAAACTTTAGGTGATTGTATTTGTGATTTCACAATTTCAAAAGCTTTTTGACACTCCTTATTCCATTTAAAAGGTATATCTTTTTTTAACAATTTATATAATGGGTGCAATGTAGAACTTAAGTTCTGCATGAATCGACCGTAATAATTTACTAACCCTGCAAATGCACGTAATTCGGTTTTATTGGTAGGAATCTTTACTTTCTGTATTGCTTCAATTTTTGCCTTAGATTTATGTATACCCACTTTATCAATTACATAACCGCAATACTCAATTTTATCTTTAAGAAATTCACATTTTGAAAGGTTTACCCGTATATTATACTTTGCTAATCTACCTAGTACTAACTCTAATCGCTGAAAATGTATAGTATTATTAGGTGCTGTAATTTTAATATCGTCTAAAAAGACTGTAACCCCGTCAATATCTTGTAGTATTGTTTCTATTGTGCGTTGCCATATGGCTGGTGCACTAGCTATACCAAACATTAGCCTAGTACTTTGGTAAAGCCCTTTTGGAGTACTTAGTGTTAGATATTTTCTATCTTCGGGACATACTTCTAACTGTAAGTACGCTTGTTGTAAATCAAGTTTTGTGAACTTATCTCCCCCAGCTAAACTCAAAAATAATTCTTCTACTGTTGGTAAGGGATGCTCGTCTACAATTAAATTTTTATTAAGTGTAATTTTGAAATCTCCACAAATCCTAATTCTACCATTAGATTTTACAACTGGGACAATAGGTGTTGCCCATTCTGACGTATTTACTTTAATTAACACTCCCTCTTTCTCCAATATTTGTAATTCTTCTTCTACTTTGGGTAGAAGTGCATAAGGAACTTTACGAGCTTTAACAAAAATCGGTGTTGCACCTTCTTTCACTTGTAACTTTGCCTGCAAATGTTTAATTTTTCCCATATTTTGCTCAAAAACTGACTGATATTTTTGTATCACTTTATCTAATGTATTGGGGCATGTTTCTAGAGATACATGAGAAATAGTTGCTAGATCTAATTGTAATTGTCTTATCCATTCCCTACCAAGTAACGGTTTTCTATCAGACTTAACTATGTATAAATTCAAAATTT